TCTCTTAACTAAAACAATCTTCCCCACGTTCTTTATACTGCTGCTACCAGGGCGCTTATATATATAAAAAATAAAAAGGTGGAAGCAACTTATTCAGTTGGTTCACCCGTATACATCTTTAAAAAATACGGTAAATTGAAACTAATATCACATTTTCCAAACTTGTTTTTATTTTTACACTCCTGTTAAACAATTTGTTGCTATGCCGGTTGCCAACTGACCTAGAGCGATGTTAATCAAATGTGCACAGCCGCTGACCGAGCAATATCGAAAATTGTGTACCAGGCTCCGCATCACACGTCGTTCACAAAATCACAGGCGTTGCGCCGCCCTATATATAAGCGCCCTGGCTGCTACGACAGAATCATGCAGTCGCTGGTGTAAAGTATACCATTAGGAATATGCAAATTTTGTTCGCCTTTCACTGTCTTAATTATAAGCACACAGAGCGGTAAATTTTTCGCTTAATTTTCTTTTCAATTCTGACCGGTGAAAGGAATTCGCTACGGTCAAATTCTCACAATTGAAGAAAAAATCGAGCGAAAAAATTCGTTCAATCGAAAAATTTGGCTTAGTGAAAAACCGGCTTTAACCGTTGTCCGTACCCGTTTTTCGTTCTGTTATCTTAAAGTCCCTAATGAAGAATACTAAAACGGTGGTCAATCTAATAACTGTTTTAAGGTGTAAATATCCAAGTAAAATTAGCTGGTGCCCTCACCGGCGGAAATTCAAGGAATTTTTGAATGAAATTTGTTGCCGTGATGGTGAATATATAACGTGAATAAAACCAGGTTTACCAGGAATAAAAGCAGCAATAAAACCAGTTTCGCTTTTTTGCGTATTTTTGTTCCCTAAATATTGACTTTGCAGCATTAATTTGCAATTAATCTATTGTCAGGGGTAATTTAGAAATGCCCATTTTATATATGGGACTGCCAATGTTCGCAAGATAGCACGAACCCTCCTTTGGGTGTTTAAGGGATATAGCAGTTTCGCAAGATCTTTGAAATTGAGATCTTCCAAGTGGAAATTTCAGCATTTTGAGAACACTTTTGGGGAGAAAATTTGGTGTACTGTATAAAGAAAAATTTTAATGGAACATTTTGTGAGAACACAATTAATCTGGGAAGTAACTAAAGTCATTCAGCTCTTCGTGGATGTTTACCAATTGATTTGCAAGAAACTATGTTGTAGGAATTCAATATTTTCTATCAAAACACAATTTTTAGATCTGTCAATTTCAGGTTTTAGCACTATTCATTTTCGAATTAGAACTGCCCATTTTAGAAAGTGGGAGGCCCTAGGATAGCCCCTGTCTGTTGCAGTTAATGTGTAACATTAATACGAAATGTGTCAGTTCTATTAGCTATACTATAAATTGTACCAATTTATATGGTGCTAAATATAATTTTATAGCGTCAGCTTCGAAAGGTATACACACAGCGAATTCAAATAAACTGCATATATTTATAGCCTATGGTTATATCATATTTGGACCTAATTTAACACGGGGAAATTTTTGCATTCCACAAGCTGGAGAATGGCGAGGAACTTTATTTTAAATATAGGACTTTTAATATGACATTTTACTCGCAGCGCAAAGTTAGTATTAAGATATAGCTAAACTCAAATGAAGTTCCTCAAATTGATGTGAAGGTTTTTACTTCCTCGTTCTTAAATTTCTACCGTGTTTACGTACCTCATGCATGCATCTGTGGGTAATTCGACTGAAAACTGGCGCCAGTAAATCAGCAATGGAAGTGAAATCATTTTAAAAAATTGTGATATTGCTTTAAAACATGAATGCAAGCTAACAAGCTGTTACAAACAGGTGGTACAGTTTAACTAATTTATATAAGAGGAACCTTATTCCATGCAGTAAAGTTTTGCGATTGTTTTTTCCGGCATAAACCTGTGCAATCAACAAATGAAGATGAGCTTGAACGCGTACATTTCATTTTATCGAATTCTTACTGAATGGAAATAGTAGCATCTCTTGTGTAATGTAAAGTGCAACTCCGCGATAGCGATACACTCTTCAGTCTGTTTTCGTTAAGAAGTATTTGCTATATATGGCCAACAATCATACGAATCGAAACTGAAGTTTCTGGTCCTATATAGCGAAGATGTCATGATTCACACTCAGTTTCAACGCAAAAGATGTGTTAAAAATTATTCATGATAATCCTTCATGTAGCAAAGCAACATATTTCACCGTTATTGAAATTATCTTATTATTCAACTTGTAGCAGGTCTGCTCTGTCAGTCGCTCACATATATACTAAATTCTACTTCCTGCATGGCTAATTTCTGTAGCGGTGAGTTCGCGAGATTTTACTCAGTTTGGCCAATTTGATAATTATAAAGCTAATTAGATTGTGATTAAGCTTTCATTTACATTATTATGTAGCTCTTTCACCATACATTATAAATACCTGATATTTCTTTACTGAAAGTAATTAAAACTGCGATACTCCATAGTACTTGAATAATTTGGATGCGTCCTTTCGTCATCTTGTGAAGAAGTCTCTTTTCAATTTAAACAAGCTATTAAAACACTTTGGTAATATTGTTTTTTACTATTCAAAGGCTTTGATGGCTTTTACTTTATACTCGATTCTTTTCGAAATAGGAAATTTTGATGTAGCTAACTTTTCTTTTAGCCTTTAATCCGTTGCTGCTGGATATAAACTAGAATATAGTTCCGTGTGCGCGTGTAAAATCGCCGAGATATTGTACATGTCAGTTCGAAAGTTATACGTCTTTGATATTGCCGGACATGTCAAACCAACTATGAATTTCTCGTGATAAACTTAACAATAGCTACTTTATCTTTACCCATTAGCCAAGCTTTTATAGAGCGAGGTTTGAGGGTATATTTTGTCATGAACTAACACAGTTTGTCATTTTTCGTTTAGGCCGGTCAACTATCTTAGAAAGATGACATTTTAAATCATCCTTATGTTTACTTTTTATTTAATTCAGATAACGATTGTTTCTGAGCATCGATTTCACCGGGCGGGATATTTCTTATTTCCGTGTTATAGTATCGCGGCCTATAAGTCTCAATATACCCTAAACAAGGTGTCCCAAAAGAAAGTCCCCCCCCCCATACATTGTAATGAAGCTTTTGTAAGAATTTGAATGCATGATCAACGCAGTTGTGTGTAAATAGCATAGTACTGGCCCAGTACTGCATGTGAAAACGTATTTTTAAATCCCAGAAGCGTAATTAGTTGCACAGCGACTAAAAATCTGATGTCTGATAACGTGCATACAAATTAGAGAATAAACAAACAGCACTTTGTACGCGTTTGTACAAAAGTCTAAATCGTTCTTCGTTTAATATACGTTGAAAACTACATAACACGTTGTCATAGCATAATACGGTACAAAAACGTTGTGGAACTTAAGGTACAAATATCCACAAATACACAAAACAGTTAGATTCGTTAAACGTTCGATTATATATCAAAGATTTGTTCAAAACCTATATTTTATAATTGCCAAAGGGTAATTCATGCATTTAATCTATCCTACCTACAATTAAGCTAATTTATTTGGCACTATATTGATATTAATTAACACTTTATGACGAAAGTTGTAGGATTCAAAAGAAGAACACTTTAATTTTGAAAGTTGATTATTGCTGGCAAGCATAATTATATGCTGTTTTAGCGCCATGTCAAAGTTCAGTTTCTTTCATCTTCATTTGTTCTTCCATATTTTTGGGTTTCTCCTCATCGCCTTTGATTATAGTAGTTTCTAGCTCCAATGAGGTAATTTCTTCATCCTGTTTGACTTGCTTTGCGGTCATTTCTTTATCTTGCTTCATAACTATTTCTACATCGTTTTTTCCGAACTCTTCAGCTACCTTAGTAGGTATTTTTTCATCTTGCTTCTTTGTTTTCTCAACATCTTTGACATCATCTTCTTCTTCTTTGTTTTCTTCAACATCTTCTTTCTTTGTCGTTGTTTCTTCATCTTGCTTCGTAGTTGTTTTTCCATCTTGTTTTGTGGTCATTTCTATATTCTGCTGGTTTGTATTTGGTTTTTCATCATGTTTTATGGATAATTCTTGATCTTTTGTGGTTATGTTCTCTTCTTGCTTTTTAGTCATTTCTTTATCTTCCTTTGTCGCCAATTCTTCAACTTTCTTTGTCGTCATGCTCTCTTTTTCTCTCTTTATGGAGTTATCCCTATCTTGATTAGTGATACTTTCTGCATCTTTCTTTGGCATTATTTCTTCATCTTTCGGTGCAGTATTTTTATCATCTCTCTTCGTAGCGATATCCTCTTGTTTTGTGGTTGTTTCGTCTTGCTCTGATATTATGTTGAGCACTACATATTTCCCACCGCCTTCTATGTCATTCTCTACCTCATCATCTGTGTTGGTGTACGTATCAACGATATCCTCCGCACCTTTGTTGTCAAATGCCTCTATAGTATTGGATTTTTTTAACGCTCGATTCCGAGAAACATAACATGTAACAATGACGAGCAGGAACACTGCAATGATCGCCAACACTATTATAACCGCAATGTAAATTATATCATGTTCGAAACCAAATTTTGCGCCTAAAAAATAGAAATATAAAATATAGGTTGCATGTTTTTGGATCATTAATAATTTTATTCCTCTGAGTATGCTGTGACGGAACCTTTGCAATGTTGCATTTACCGTAGAAAACGACAGAATTTTTTTGGACAGGGATTTTTTAAACAGAAATTTAAATAATCTCCGAAAATGAGTCTTTTTTAGCCCGCATGAAATAGAAATTTTACTTTGTTTCCGCGGTAGACTTTTAAAATTGGGAATTTTCAAGTCCTAAAATCCGCAATGCGACTCATTTCCACATGATACGGCAAAAAATTTTACAATTTCGAGGGCCTTATTCCCGTATAGGTTATACTAATTCGGACAATATTGTCTGGAAAAAGCAAAATTGAGTATCTCTGCGAGTATATGTTAGCTAAAGACCCTCTTTCTACACTCTATTTCTACACATGCATAGTCGATACAAAATGCATATTGTCAAGTCATAATCAGAGATGTTCCTATCAAATCGTCATGCTTATGTTTATTATAAACGGAGGACACAGCAACAAACTCAAACCAGACTTTCGGTTAAGCCTACGGTTCACTACGGTTGCATGTGTTACCGCTTCGATTGCTTTCACGAAGTCATCAAGACCAAAGCCACATAGCTATTACTAAGGTTAATTCCTTCGGCAGAACATCCTCGCACGGAGTTCTTTTTCTTTCCTGTCGCACCATAAAGTATGTTGCTCTCATGACTTAGAGTTAGACCCAATATGAGTCATTAAGCTACAATCATGGACTTCTGTGACCATCCCAATAACTGTAATTGTTTTGTATAGTCACTTAGTAAATATGTGAACAGTTACGAAAATGCCTGACACCAATGCTTCAAATTCTTGCGATGACACAAAACACACAAACGCTGGACGTCAGAAACCAGGTCAGAAACCAAAGCCTAACTCGCCTACCTGCGCACTGCTATATGTTCGTCATGAATTGTGACTGTAGGTCAGGTGTCATGCTTCTCATATATCTTTTATGCCTGGCGTGAAACTCTAGAGGCTCGCTAAGTTGAAAATTAAAAATCCAGAAGATTTGAAAATCCGGCTGCAAATGCGTCTTCGTAAACTGAATTTTCTTAAATGCTTCGACTTGACTGGGGTTTGAGATAAAACAAGATAGTCTATGTCATTTTGTTCCTCATTATTCGCCTCCGTAGTTTTCTCATTGAACAAGTCATCCTGCTGTTATAAGTTTCCCAAAATTCTTTTCGGAGCCGGTGAGCTTTGCAAAGAAATCAGAGCGTAAATTTCAACTGTATGCTTTGGTCAGTTTTGGTGATCCAAGCAAACCAACATTGAAAATTTCAAGTTATTATAATTATTCATGAATTTAGAAAATTATTGTTTTCACCGCCAATGAACACCTAGCCTGAACACAGATAGCACAGCGTGACAAATCGTCACAACATAAAATTACGTGCCGAATTTATGGTAGCTGGCGCGACATTTAATGTAAGATGTTTACCGGCCATGTTTGCGATTTCGTAAAAACATCAAGTGCGAGCCTTCAGATCAGAAATGAATGATGTCATTTGAAATCAATAAAAAATATAAAAGAAAAAGTTTTGCCGTCATTTCCTTAACCTTTCACTGTCACTTGTTTTCCTTCAATATAAAAAAACTTCTTTTGTATCATTTTATGGCAATTCCACTGTATCATGCTGCGCTCATCTAAATGATAGTCTCCCAGCATTTCAGACTTTCAGTTTTAAGAAAGATACCCCACAACCTCTGTATCAATGCTAGACAGGAAGGGGTGATAAAAAAATTCGTGAAAAGAGAAGAAACGATTTACAAAAACAAGTTCTTCTGATGTAATAAGAAAAATTTGATATCCTTTCCATATTCAAGTTATATAAAAATGTGGCTAGAATAGAAATCTTTCTCAGTTTCCTTTAGGATGTGCAAGAAAAAATATTTTCTGAAGTGCATATAACGGGTGGGCTTACAGAATATATTCTTAAAATTATTTTTATCCTTATAGCTAGTTTCAGGACATAAATGTTTTTTTTTCAACTGCACGGTTACAATTTTCTTGCGTTGCAGATTTCCAGGTTTTTCATTCCGCAATTTGCCAGTTTTTCCTTGGTTTGAGCGAATATAGAAATCCGCATTGCGGATTTTTGTACTTTTACCTTTCGCAATTTGCTAAAGTTTTTTGGCATTTGAGTGATTATGAAAATCCGCATTGCGGATTTAGGCTTTTACATATCTCAATTTGCCAATTTTTCCTTTGATTTCAGTGATTTGAGTAAATATGGAAATCCGGATCACCAGTAGCGTAGCCAGCCTGAGGATTTGTCCCGCTATGCTGATATTTTGGGTTGCATTGACTGTAAAGACAACGAAATTCTTAAGACATGAATAATTATTATAACTCAAAATTTACATAGCGAGACAAAATCGTTAGGTTTGCTACGCCACTGCGGATCTCGAAGACAAATGCTTAACTTCTTTCTTGGCCTTTTTGTACATATAAAACTAATAAAAAAATTTTGACACCAGATTTTTCGCGAAAAAATATAGAATGGAAAAACATAATTTAGTTTGGAACACGTTCAAACCTGCTTTTGATGTTGCCGATGCGTTTTTACTTGTCCGAGTCGGTGTTAGTTCAGTACCTGAGATAAAATAAAACTTGTAATTATGGTGTAATATAATAGTAATAATATGTAATAATTATGCTATGGTGAGTGCAGTTCGGGATCTATTGATCGAGTGCTGTTAGCGATGCCAAAATTAGACCAGCCGCTGCATCACGAGTATTATGAAACCCATAACTTAACGAGCATTATAAAATATTATTACTGGCATGATAAAATCGTATAATTTTAATAGTCCTCTACTGCGACCTTTTTTGGACATAATTTTCGCAAGCAACATAGTTTCTTGTCAAAACACAGTCCTGCTCTTCTAAATACTTCTTCAATATTTTGTTTCGTTGTTCGTTGTTTCGGTTTCATTTCCGTGAATTGCATGTTTTTAAAATTGTATTATAATTTTGGGCGTCCTAAAACCGTCAGCTATCGTATTTTTCCTTTCCACTGACCATGAATATAAGCTGATGACACAATTAATCAGATTGCTGATATTGTCTTTTAGAAATTTAGCTTAGTTTATAAAGATAGGGGAAATTTAATCTGTAAAATGCTACCCCAAAATTATTTTCGTCTCTCTCGCCTAGCACTTTTCAAAATGGTGGTGGAAATTATAAGCCGTTAACATGCAATGACTAATGGCTAAACACGTCCGATCCAAGTGACCAAGTCGGATCTAAAAAAGTGGGCGGTGGGCGGCGAGTCATATAAAATTCATCTACATTTTGGATAACTGGTATATTTAACTTCAAAACACAGATTTTAATTTGCCAATTCTGTTTACCTATTTATACCACCAGCACTTTTATTCTGTTAATGAAAGGGAAGTTATTGTACTTTCTTTTTTCCAGATTTTAACTTGGCCGCCGTAGAGTTCAGAGGCCACCACTGAATAAAATGGTCGCAAATAAACCTACGCATCAATAAAACATTTTCTTACCAAAAGCAGTAACAGCTGGCGCTTTACTTTTAACAACAGAACCAAAAGTTGCAGCTTCTGTTTTCCCATTCAAAGCCTTTCTTGTCACTTCGTAGGCTTCCGTTATCACATCAGAGGCTTTTGGTGTCACCTCAGAAGCTTTAGTTATTAGTTTGCGAGCCTCAGTGAACACGTCAGCAGCTTCTGTGGCAACTTCAAGAGCCTTTGTTGTTACTTCAGGAGCTTCTGTGACCACTTCAGGAGCCTCTGTAACGCCTTCAGAAGCTTCTGTGACCACTTCAGGATCATCTGTGACCACTTCAGGAGCTTCTGTCACCACATCAGGAGCTTCTGTGACCACTTCAGGAGCATCTGTGGCCATTTCAGGAGCTTCTGTGACCACATCAGTAGCTTCTGGGACCACTTCAGGAGCTTCTGTGACCACTTCAGGAGCATCTGTGACCACTTCAGGAGCTTCTGTGACCATTTCAGGAGCTTCTGTGACCACATCAGGAGCTTCTGTGACCACTTCAGGAGCTTCTGTGACCACTTCAGGAGCATCTGTGACCACTTCAGGAGCTTCTGTGACCACTTCAGTGGCATCTGTAACCATTTCAGGAGCTTCTGTGACCACTTCAGGACCATCGGTGACCACTTCAGGAGCGTCTGTGACTACGTCAGGAGCTGTTGTCACCACTTCAGGAGCATCTGTGACCACTTCAGGAGCTTCTGTGACCATATCAGGAGCTTCTGTGACCACTTCAGGAGCATCTGTGACCATTTCAGGAGCTTCTGTGACCACATCAGGAGCTTCTGTGACCACTTCAGGAGCATCTGTGACCGCGTCAGGAGATTCTGTGACCACTTCAGGGGCATCTGTAACCATTTCAGGAGCTTCTGTGACCATTTCAGGAGCTTCTGTGACCACTTCAGGAGCTTCTGTGACTACTTCAGGAGATTCTGTGACCACTTCAGGAGCATCTGTGACCACTTCAGGAGCTTCTGTGACTACTTCAGGAGATTCTGTGACCACTTCAGGAGCATCTGTGACCACTTCAGGAGCTTCTGTTACCGGTTCAGGAGCTTCTGTGACCACTTCAGGAGCATCTGTGACCATTTCAGGAGCTTCTGTGACCACATCAGGAGCTTCTGTGACCACTTCAGGAGCTTCTGTGACCGCGTCAGGAGATTCTGTGACCACTTCAGGGGCATCTGTAACCATTTCAGGAGCTTCTGTGACCATTTCAGGAGCTTCTGTGACCACTTCAGGAGCTTCTGTGACTACTTCAGGAGATTCTGTGACCACTTCAGGAGCATCTGTGACTACTTCAGGAGCTTCTGTGACCACTTCAGGAGCATGTGTGACCACTTCAGGAGCTTCTGTTACCACTTTAGGAGCATCTTTGACTACTTCAGGAGCTTCTGTGACCACTTCAGGAGCATCTGTGACCACTTCAGGAGCTTCTGTGACCACTTCAGGGGCATCTGTGACTACTTCAGGAGCTTCTGTTACCACTTCAGGAGCTTCTGTGACCACTTCAGGAGCATCTGTGACCACTTCAGGAGCTTCTGTGACCACTTTAGGAGCATCTGTGACTACTTCAGGAGCTTCTGTTATCACTTTAGGAGCATCTGTGACCACTTCAGGAGCATCTGTGACCACTTCAGGAGCTTCTGTGATCACTTCAGGAGCATCTGTGACTACTTCAGGAGCTTCTGTTACCACTTCAGGAGCTTCTGTGACCACTTCAGGAGCATCTGTGACCACTTCAGGAGCTTCTGTGACCACTTCAGGAGCATCTGTGACCACTTCAGGAGCTTCTGTGACCACTTCAGGACCATCTGTGACCACTTCAGAAGCTTCTGTGACCATTTCAGGAGCTTCTGTGACCACTTCAGGAGCTTCTGTGACTACTTCAGGAGATTCTGTGACCACTTCAGGAGCATCTGTGACCACTTCAGGAGCTTCTGTGACCACTTCAGGACCATCGGTGACCACTTCAGGAGCGTCTGTGACTACGTCAGGAGCTGTTGTCACCACTTCAGAAGCATCTGTGACCACTTCAGGAGCTTCTGTGACCATATCAAGAGCTTCTGTGACCACTTCAGGAGCATCTGTGACCATTTCAGGAGCTTCTGTGACCACATTAGGAGCTTCTGTGACCACTTCAGGAAATTCTGTTACCACTTTAGGAGCATCTGTGACTACTTCAGGAGCTTCTGTGACCACTTCAGGAGCATCTGTGACCACTTCAGGAGCTTCTGTGACCACTTCAGGAGCATCTGTGACTACTTCAGGAGCTTCTGTTACCACTTCAGGAGCTTCTGTGACCACTTCAGGAGCCTCTGTTACCACTTTAGGAGCATCTGTGACTACTTCAGGAGCTTCTGTTACCACTTCAGGAGCTTCTGTGACCACTTCAGGAGCATCTGTGACCACTTCAGGAGCTTCTGTGACCACTTCAGGAGCATCTGTGACCACTTCAGGAGCTTCTGTGACCACTTCAGGACCATCTGTGACCACTTCAGGAGCATCTGTGACCACTTCAGGAGCTTCTGTTACCGGTTCAGGAGCTTCTGTGACCACTTCAGGAGCATCTGTGACCATTTCAGGAGCTTCTGTGACCACATCAGGAGCTTCTGTGACCACTTCAGGAGCTTCTGTGACCGCGTCAGGAGATTCTGTGACCACTTCAGGGGCATCTGTAACCATTTCAGGAGCTTCTGTGACCATTTCAGGAGCTTCTGTGACCACTTCAGGAGCTTCTGTGACTACTTCAGGAGATTCTGTGACCACTTCAGGAGCATCTGTGACTACTTCAGGAGCTTCTGTGACCACTTCAGGAGCATGTGTGACCACTTCAGGAGCTTCTGTTACCACTTTAGGAGCATCTTTGACTACTTCAGGAGCTTCTGTGACCACTTCAGGAGCATCTGTGACCACTTCAGGAGCTTCTGTGACCACTTCAGGGGCATCTGTGACTACTTCAGGAGCTTCTGTTACCACTTCAGGAGCTTCTGTGACCACTTCAGGAGCATCTGTGACCACTTCAGGAGCTTCTGTGACCACTTTAGGAGCATCTGTGACTACTTCAGGAGCTTCTGTTATCACTTTAGGAGCATCTGTGACCACTTCAGGAGCATCTGTGACCACTTCAGGAGCTTCTGTGATCACTTCAGGAGCATCTGTGACTACTTCAGGAGCTTCTGTTACCACTTCAGGAGCTTCTGTGACCACTTCAGGAGCATCTGTGACCACTTCAGGAGCTTCTGTGACCACTTCAGGAGCATCTGTGACCACTTCAGGAGCTTCTGTGACCACTTCAGGACCATCTGTGACCACTTCAGAAGCTTCTGTGACCATTTCAGGAGCTTCTGTGACCACTTCAGGAGCTTCTGTGACTACTTCAGGAGATTCTGTGACCACTTCAGGAAGCATCTGTGACCACTTCAGGAGCTTCTGTGACCACTTCAGGACCATCGGTGACCACTTCAGGAGCGTCTGTGACTACGTCAGGAGCTGTTGTCACCACTTCAGAAGCATCTGTGACCACTTCAGGAGCTTCTGTGACCATATCAAGAGCTTCTGTGACCACTTCAGGAGCATCTGTGACCATTTCAGGAGCTTCTGTGACCACATTAGGAGCTTCTGTGACCACTTCAGGAGCTTCTGTTACCACTTTAGGAGCATCTGTGACTACTTCAGGAGCTTCTGTGACCACTTCAGGAGCATCTGTGACCACTTCAGGAGCTTCTGTGACCACTTCAGGAGCATCTGTGACTACTTCAGGAGCTTCTGTTACCACTTCAGGAGCTTCTGTGACCACTTCAGGAGCCTCTGTTACCACTTTAGGAGCATCTGTGACTACTTCAGGAGCTTCTGTTACCACTTCAGGAGCTTCTGTGACCACTTCAGGAGCATCTGTGACCACTTCAGGAGCTTCTGTGACCACTTCAGGAGCATCTGTGACCACTTCAGGAGCTTCTGTGACCACTTCAGGACCATCTGTGACCACTTCAGAAGCTTCTGTGACCATTTCAGGAGCTTCTGTGACCACTTCAGGAGCTTCTGTGACTACTTCAGGAGATTCTGTGACCACTTCAGGACCATCTGTGACCACTTCAGGAGCTTCTGTGACCACTTCAGGACCATCGGTGACCACTTCAGGGGCGTCTGTGACTACGTCAGGAGCTGTTGTCACCACTTCAGGAGCATCTGTGACCACTTCAGGAGCTTCTATGACCACTTCAGGAGCTTCTGTGACTACTTCAGGAGCTTCTGTGACCACTTCAGGAGCTTCTGTGACCACTTCAGGAGCATCTGTGACCACTTTAGGAGCTTCTATGACCACCTCAGGAGCATCTGTGACCACTTCAGGAGCTTCTGTGACCACTTGAGGAGCTTCTGTGACCACCTCAGGAGCATCTGTGACCACTTCTGGAGCTTCTGTGACCACTTCAGGAGCATCTGTGACCACTTCAGGAGCTTCTGTGACCACCTCAGGAGCATCTGTTACCACTTTAGGAGCTTCTGTGTCCACTTCAGAAGCTTCTGTGACCATTTCAGGAGCTGGAACACAAGTATCATAACACTTCAAAACAGAGACAAAAGCACATGATTAGAAACAATCAAAAATGCAGGGGACAAAAATACTTATTTGGACTTGAAGCTGACACAGCCTCACCTGGCGCACGTCTAGGCGCTTCAGTTTCTATTAAGATCCCGAAATATTAACAATTACATTTAGTAAAGAAGGCACATCACAAAATTATGAAAAATATTGTAATAAAAACGTAAGCCCTTTTCAAACAGAGTTTGTGTTTTAAAATAAAAGGGCGTTACAGAACAAAAAATCCAAGAAAGGAGTTCACAAATTGAAGGATTTAGAGTTTTCTAAACAGTTGTTCTGTCATGGGAGGAAACACTGGACAAAACAGGGATATAGCTACTCCTTTTACGACCTGTTAGGAAATAAGAGATACATGGATGTTCAATTCATCAGCCGTTTGGCTCAAATACTTTAATTTGCGGAACAGCGACTACACTTATATATTAAACCTTTAGGAATCATTAGGCCTCTTTTATACCCAGCATTTTATATACCTTCTCCTTTTCGCTTTTGTTACCGAGAAATCATGCTTTTAGGAAGGCTTTAATGATATTGCTGTCTGAATCATTAAGAACTATCGAAAATTCACTTCACTATTTGAAAGTCAATACGTACAACGATCTTTGATTTGTAAATGTACGACACAATAAATACACCAAAAAATAGTACATATGCATGCTCGTACAAATATATATAATAACATGCACTCGCGTACAAAACTTTTCAATATTAGTATTCGCCATTCGATGATAATTTTGATGGTTTTTATCTCTCTTTTTACTGAAACATGAATACTTTACACCGTGTCTGTAAGGTAAATGTAAAATTAAATGATTAAAGCTGAGCAAAATTGGAAAAACAAAAATGAAATAAGGAAGTTTTAGGGCCATCTGTTCATAGTTGATAAGCTCGTTTATAGCCTTTTTCATAAACCAATGACACTGATTATCATTTCTCCAAAGCAAAATCCCGAAATATCCTTGCATCATAAACAAAAAAATAGCTTGGAAAATAACTCTAATCGGGATAATCACTGACAGCCTCTCTATTCTTTGAGACGTATTTTCTGGAACACCGACAATTCTGCATCTATATCAATTCGAACTGAAAGAGTTGCTGAATATTAGACCATGCAATGATTCTCTTAGCGGTTTTGACGAAAATTATGAGGTGAAAACCAATTGACTATAATAACGATATTTAACGATGTAAAATAGTTTTCGTAGACTACATGGAAGTTAATGCTCCTCTGTGGCGACATTTCAGCTTTGGCAATGCTCACTATAGCTCATACTTTATTCCACTTCCTGGTTAATATCAGTGGGATATCGGTTAATTAGTCTGCTAAGTTTTTATTTACCGCCACCTTGATTTCACATCCATATTATTAATGTGACTACCATGCCTTGCCTTGTACCTACTTGATATTTCTCCATTGGAACTTGAAGGAACATGAAACATTACCATAACCCAAACTATGTATGTATATTGAAAGTGTCTTCTCCTCATCTCCGCAATAATTGTCCTCTCTCGTTACAAATTAGCAAAGTTCTGTATGAAAAGCCTTTTTAAAATATTGGTATGACTATATAGGTATTTTAAAGGCTTTTACTTTTAATTCGATTCTAACCAATATATAGTTAAATATTAACGTCTTCACTCCAGGGGTGCTGGATGTGAACTGAACTGGTTTCGTCAAAGCGCTAATGCGCATGCACGGGTCGTAAGGTTTCGAAAGTTTGCTAAATGTCTTTAATATTGTAGGAAATGTCAAACGCAACTTGGCATATTAAAATAATAATATTTCTACATATACATATTAGGCAATAATAATACTTTATCTATAAACGTTCATTTTCCGATGATAATTGATATATATAGGTGCACTCGTGCATGTCACCGTGCTGCCGTGAAATATATAGCTGCTACCGACAACACGTGCGGGATATACTGATTCACATGTTCACATGACTAATCTCATTCTTCATGGCAACACTTAATATTAGAAAATATTCACTTTATGAGTTACTACGATATTTTGTTATTGAATAAAAGCGAACATGCACGAATATTAGGTTTGCAGTTTTGTGATACACCCTGTATTGTGGTTGATAACGATATGAATATTGAGTGTTGCCTTTTTTATACAACCTGTACAGAAGCTATTTCGCTAAATTTGCTGCATGCAAACATTTGCTGCATGCATGCATATATACATTCAGGCCTGGTTGACATATACAGTATACTTACTCTATTTTTAGACATGCATGCCTAGGTAGCTAGTTGACAATTGTAATCCTGACAATTAGATCAATTCTATAGTCTCCCTTTAATAAGACACATTTCTCGAATGTAGGCGGACATTTGCGTATCAAACTAGCCGGCTTTTACTTCCTGCTGGCGCCGGGAGAAAATGCACACAAGCAGCTCTGATATGTAATTTAAAGTTGTAACAAGGGAGAGAGCTAAATATTATTTAGATTCTGATATAAGCTTCTAAGTTTCCATTATCAACGTTAACAGTAAGTATGTAGATGCTATATAGATGTTTATAATTATATATATTATATATATATATATATATACAGAGTGTCTCAAAACAAGCTATTGAATTCACCAATTAATATATAGATAGAATTTGAATGGCATAGCACTATAAGTGCTCCAGAGTTTCCCTCACTTATAGTTTGAAAATTGAACTTAATAAACCTGTGAACCTTATAAACCGAATGTTTCAGCGTTTCGCACTGGAGTTGAACTTTGAGTCAGTGTATAATTTATAACAACAAAAACTCGTTCTTCTGTGGTCAGTTGAACCATTTTCTCCGGAACTGGTCATAGGATTAATTTATAATTTAATTTTTTATCATTTTCGCAATTTTTAATTATTCACGAAGCTACTTTGATACCCTATATACGTTATTCGTGCGCTCTGCACTTAAATTTCAGCGCCTTAATGAGTCGTTTTAAGCATCTTTGCGTTCAGCTCAAGGCCATGTTACATGGCGCAATTTTTCCTGCAACTTGCAATGCAATTCTTCTTTTGAGATATGTAAATTTGGCAACTACCAAACTTCTTTCTTTATTACCCTCCATGGCCTTTTCTTACACTCACATTTTAAAACCTCTTCACTAATTTACATCTCTTCAAAGTAGAATTGCATTGCAAGTTTCATGCATTGCAAGAAAAATTGTATCGTGTAACATGGCCTTTAGTGCTAGGAAGCGTCCATTTTCAGGGACACTCTGGAGCACTTATAAGACTATGCTATTCAAATTCTAACAATACGTGAGCTCAATACGGCCCACTTTTTTTGAGACACTTTAGCCCCGTTTACACTACAGTCAATTTATCGGCACGGCACGGCTAAAATGGGTACCCGTGCCCAATTTATTAGTGCTCAGACTACCAAAACAAAGGCCGGGCACGGATGAAATGGGCACGGGTACCCATTTTAGCCGTGCCGTGCCAATAAATCGGGTGTAGTGTAAACGGGGCTTCTGTTATTCATAACTATTGTTCATTCAAGCCAACTGTTCGACCGACTAAACTGTTCTGCAGACCGTTTGCACATTTATCTTCTAAATAATAAGGTATAGTTTATTTAGACTTTCTTTTGACGTATTTGACACAATTTTAGTTATATATAGCAGTTTGGTAATTTCTAGTTTTTATGCAACGCAAAATTTATTAAGTAAATATTTATTTTTTATGTCACCATGCAAACGTACAAGAATATTATTGCAAAATTCATTGTTTGCGACTAGTATATACCATCTCCCGTTTCTTGTAAAAACTATATTGTCAGACTGGCTCAACATACGATACGATTACAGTAATTTTCACTAATTTGTGCCGTGATGAATAGGTTTTGTGAAGTGATAAAATGGTTTGACTCGTGATTGTTGATTTATCATTTATGATTGTGACTGCCGCAGCGCAAGCTCTGTATGTGTTTCGATACGACGACGGTTTTGTTTACGTCACGACGCGTTTTAGAGTTCGAAGAAACACATTCAGTAATATATTTTACAGGCAGCAATTTAATAGTCTTGACCAAGTAACAATCTTATTTGAGGATCATTAAAGTTGTCGATTATGGTTGTCATAAAATAACGATAACGCTTTGTCGAGGCAAACGATGCACAAACCGAGATGTTCGAACAGCTAGATGGGTTACGAAAACTTGTTCGAAACTTTTATTACAAGTTTTCTCGACGAATACACATAAGCAACTGCGCAAAAAACAAGATTGTGAAAACCTTTACCTGTCCCAAATCGGAACTAGTTACCGCGTCATAACTATAACCACTAATTAACCAAAATTTAAATTTGAAATTAGGTCGTGTAATTTATTCTAACTTAACCTGAATCCACCACTGATTATTGTAACTAGCTATTCCGAATTTGCAAGTAGACGAATGCATGGTGACAATTTTACGTTAGTTTGAGAATGCAAGCATGTGTTATATTTAGGCCCCATTACACCCCCATGATGCACTGTCAATTTAGCTTTGACCAGACCTCTGTTGCAGCTTTGGACTACTCCATAAATGGACTTTTTTTAAACAGAAGAAGGTTTATACCTGGCCAGAAATAGCTGCATGGCGTAAAACTTTACAGGTTTTGCATTTACTGTGCATGTTGTCCGCAATACAACTCAGTATTACACTGTGATGAACAAATTTATCTCGTTTGGACAGGTAACGATTATTCATCTAGATAAAAAAAGGAATCTTGAGCCTTTACTGATCTGTTTAGAAATTTGGATGATATAACGAGTCTAAAATTTTTAGTCTTTCACCGTCGATGTTTACCCAGTTATAATATTGTTCGACGTATTTCTAATAAAAAATTGTGATATTACATTATATATATATTCTAATAAAAGTGATGGTATGATATATAAACCTCGTAAAATGTACGACAAAACATAACTCTATTGTGGTTCAATCAAAATTCAGTTTCTTTTACAGTCATTACGTTATCGTGATTATAAGCTTCTTTTTCATCTTGCTGATTGACTATATCATCACCTTGCTCTGTGGTTATTTCCGGGCTTGTAGAAATTGCTTCATTCCAAATTTTGTTTATTTCTTCGCTTTGTACCTCGTTTATCTCTTCATCTTGCTCTTTGGTTATTTCCTCATCAAGCTTAATTTCGCTTATTCCTTCATCTTGCTCAATCGTTGTTTTTTCTTCATCTTGGTTAAGGGTTATCTCTTTCTCTTGATTTGGGGTTACCTCTTCATCTTGCTTGGCAATCATTTCTTCACTTTGCTTTGTGGATATCTCTTCATCTTGTTTTTCGTTTACTTCTTCATCTTGTTTTTCGGTTATTTCTCCGTCTTGTTTTGTGGCTGTATCTCCTTCCTCTCCCTTGTTCTCGATCGTCTCGCCATCTCCATCAGGCGACAAATCAACGGGTTCCTCGATGCCTTTGCTAATATTTGCCTTCCTGGCAATAGAGAGTTTCAATGTTCGGTTTCGATAAAAATAGTATGTAATGACCATCAGCAGAATTGCTACGAACATTGTCAGTGCTATGATGATTCCAACATAAATAATATAACGCTTGTTTTCCCCTTTCACACCTGAAAGTAAGAGCCGAAGTTATTTTGGTGGTTTTGTGTGAATACCCTAATGTTGTTTAAAAATGTTCCTTCATTTCATAGAGGCATTTACTTTGATTGAATGACCTGGGATATGAAATTTTATTTTATAAAATATAAAAACAAACCTTTTTTGGCAAATGTGTCTTTGCTTGTCTGAGATGATGTGGGTGCAGTTACTGCAGTACCTGAAATATTTTAAAAGATTTAAAGCATTGGGTTAAATTGGGAGCTGTTTGATCTCCCACTTAGCCGAGATTGAACGAAGCGTGAGATGACTTTGAGGTATGGCATCAAACAAGCACCTTTTATTCTCGGAGTGATTGCGCGACTGCCAGGACCGTGTTATATATATTTCACTACCTCAAAATCGTCTCGCGTTTCGTTGAGTCTCAGCTAACTCGAATCATGTAAACAGCCCATAGTAAGTGCATAACTTTAAATTGGTGCGATTTTTTTAAATTACATGATATATATCTTGTTTTCGGAAAAAATGTTTTCACTACTTCACCATTTAAAAAAGGTTTAACTAATTATTCCCATCCAAGCATTCGTCAAGACAGGGATGGCAAACAATATAAAGCATTTTACAACTGTTGAACTGTCAAATTGCGTCTAACATCCAGTGTTTTGACATTTCGCTCGGGAACTTCATTGGGGTAGATCAGTATATATAGTCTTATTCTGTAGTCTTACTATAGTCTCATTACCAGAAATTTGCGACATGATAATTTGCATGTATACTAATTTGCATTTAACTTTCAGCATATGGCCTTCAACATTTACTATAAAATATATATAGTAAATATACAAAACTTAAAAATGCCGTTGACCTAGACCTTGCCTACTGTTTGCCGACCTCTAGATCGGTCGAGCAACTCTTTAGAAACGTTTTGGTGGCCGAATTTTTTTGCTTGGGCATTTCTGTAATCTGCCAAATTTAAAAATATATTGCTCAAAGTTTTGTCCGTGTTCTGTCAACAAACTTATAAAATCGCTCACATTGATTCGGATATTTCGATTCAGGTGTTGATGAATTGACGTGTAATATACCAAAAAAAGTTGTTAAAGATATTGTCTTTCGTATATGTGTATAAACGTTTCTGTACGGCTCGGATTTTCACTGCAATCACTTTAAAAAATATTATCAGTCTTATCAGGAACTTGAACAATACGAAGGCTATATACACATTTGTTCACAATCAGTTGGCCGAACGTAGAAATACCTAAGGTAAGTAATTCGATCATTAAAACGTTGGGAAACGGCTGTTCTATTGACCCAGAGGTCGGCAAACAGTGGGCAAGGTCTAGGGCGACGACATTTTAAGGTTTTGTATATTTACTATATGTATTTAATAGTAAAAGTTGAAGGCCATTATGCTGAAAGTTAAATGCAAATTAGTATAAATGCAAATTATCATGTCGCAAATTTCTGGTAATGTACAAATCCTCGTACAGAGCTAAATGAAAAAAAATTGTTCTACGAAAATGGTACGTTCTACACCATGCGCACCTGACGATGTTTAACTATATAATCACGCTGTAACTCAACTCAAATTATTTGCTTTTGGGGGAATATTATGAACATATGGCGTGATACGAATGTCACACAAGATGAGACACAAATTTTATCGTCTTAAAGGGCGATTTTATCACCCTAAAAAGAACAGCACTCCAAAAAATGGCGTGTTGTAGTGATAAATTGGTTTTATCATTGTGACAATAAATATCTCTCTTGAAGGTTTAAGTAAAAAAATACATATCATCCTTTTCTTACTCGTGTGTTGGTGTTTTTTCAAGTTTTTTTTAAAGATAGGTTTGAAAACATGCACAGTACTAATAAAACAGCAAATATCGGAAGATAAGCAACTATGAGGGAACATCATATCATATTCCTATTTTAATATCGTAATTTTCAAAGTTTATAAATGGTGTACCTTCAGTGGTCATTTCAAAATTTGAAGTTTTTCGTATCATGATTGTAGCACTTGAAGCTTTTGTTGGGGCAGCAACAATTGTGGTGGTAGATGAAGTGTTTTTTCTCGCCGCATCAATAGTTTTCAACGTCGACGTTTGAACAGTCACGCTCGAAACAATTGGAGTGGTTAATTTTGTAATGGTCGTACTCGATGAAACAAATGTAGAGGGCTTGTCTGACTTAGTTTTGCCTCCTGTAACACTGACACTTGATTGAACTGTAAACAACAATAATTAATAAAATTAGCTAAGTGACTTTAGCAAACAATAACTATTACCGGCAGACAATTTATTAAAAAATTAAAAAAATATTCTGAAGAATAAAATCGAGATATCTAAGAATAACTCTTTTTTGTCCCTAATTTTTGTCTCTTGGTAAGCTTGTCCCCTTCAGTTGAAAAACACAGCTAACTTAGTTCGTCGCTATTCATCCTAACTTGCACTACCTCTTAATGTTATGGATGACATGCAATGCCGTAAAAACATAATGATAAACTGCTATCTTTACAATCTCATTCAGGTAGTATAGTGTTCCGTTATGACGTCATCTCTTCCTGTCCCTTTGTTTATAGTATTGTAATTTATTCTGGTATAATAACTAATTTATTTTTATTATAGTAGCTAATTCATTTTTATAACAATTCACAGTGTGCGGTTAAATATACATATAATTAATATACAATCTTCCTGCATTGGCCTAAATCTACTCACACGATTGGTCAAAATCAATCAAGTGATTTCTTGTTGCCTGGCGACAGTTCATGGGAATCATAATTTATTCGCAATAACCCATGAAAATCGTGGTTTATTCGCAATAACCCATGCACGCACTTGCTGACCAAACAATGAACTCAAAATTTCTCGTTCATTGTATGGTCAGCGCGTGCATTTATTTGTAAACAAAACACTCACAACAATCTCTAACCCTTAAATAAACATAAATCCAGTTTATGTTCCAAAACCCGATAAGAAGGTACAGTTTCCAGGGGCCAATCCCTCTCCGAAACGTTATGATATATACGTGTAAGGCGTTTCAATTTTGTAAGACAACTAACTATATACATTCAGTATTTTACTGTCCTATCCTATTTCCTAATTTTTAAACTTTTAAACTGTTGGTTAACCTTAACGACCTTTAGGAGCCGAACATAGAGACTTTTCACAACGTTGTTTACTAAATCCAGGGGGGAGAAAACCCTTGTAGCGGGCTCATATTTGAGCCCGGTCAGTGGTAAATACCATGGCCAAAAGGAACCATGTGGCGTCAGCAGAGCTTCTGCGGTTGCGCAGAAGGGCGAAGTCCGCCATGTTTTTGCGGACAAAAAGATGGCGGCGAAGTTACCGAAAAATGACGAGCCGGTCCTCCAGGAATTATTATATAGCTCAGTGGTTTCACACCTCGCGACATTCTTATTGGTTAAAAACGTATGACGTATTAGATCACTGACCTGTATATACAAGTCTGTATGGCAGATATTCAAAAACAACCCACGTTAATCATTCACAAGTAAACCACAACGATCTGTAAATTCCCTTAAATCTATGTCTTATATAATGTTTAGAGTTTTTAATACTGATCAAAGCTGAAACGCAGGCCAAAGATAACAGGAATTTAAAGCAAAAAGTTAAATTTGAATGCAATGGAACAGCGTGAAATTTCCTGTGACTTGTGTAATTCCTCGTAAGGCTGACGCTTTTATCGACGCACTAAAATACTATAGGTAATAAATAAGGCCAATCAAGCATATTGTTAATAATTTAAAGGTGTGTTTTATAACACATCAAAAGATGTGTTTCTTGGATGGGTCAAGGTGTGCTGTCAAACACACAAAGGTGTGTTTTCAGTGAAAAGGTGTGTTACTTTACACACCTTAATGAGTAAAAGAAAAGGTGTGCAAAAGGAGGTGTTTTCGCTAACACACAAAGGTGTGTTTTCGAACACACGAATGTGTGTTTCCGTACACACAAAGGTGTGTTTCCTTACACACCAAGGTGTGCTTTCTAAAAGCGCGTAGAAAGGTGTGCAGAAATTACACACCATGGCGTGCAATTGAACACACCTTGGTGTGTAGTCAAACACACCTTGGTGTGTAATTCTACACACCTGTTTTTTGTGTGTTCATGGAATCAAAAAGCATTGACAGAATAAAGAAGTTTACAGGCCAATTTTCTGCTGAGTTTTGGTTTCGACCTAGTTATTGATTTTTTTGCATACATTCAACGAGTACGTACATTCTTTGTTCGAGATGACAGAAATGCAAATCCCTTATGAAAAAGCACATGCACGTGAAAATCACATTTTGGAGCTGTGTAAATTTCCAGTTATTAAAATTCGTCAGGCTAGCTACCCTTCTGTATGTAATAAAGTGATTCAAATATGTCTGATAAACATGTAAAAATGGAAAAACCACACGCCCAGGAACCCACATGCGGGTCACATAAAGTAACAACCCCACCCCATGCACCACCCACGCAACATTACATACACCTCCACCACTACTGCATGCTTTGATGTCTTTAAGATTAGTGTACAGTTTTATCGCAGTGTTTCCAGGTTAAAAATCATATTTCTATTCATTCTGATAACACCTTAAACTGATACTTAATTTAAACTGTGGCGGCGCTAGCGGGGGGAGGGGGAGAGGAAGGGATTTGGTCTAAGAAACATTTGCCCCATCCACATTTTTGTTGTCTTTCCGCCAGTTTGTTCCTCCCGAAAAATCTTCCCCCCCCAACAAAACACTTCTTTAATCCATATCACGACTTCTCTCACCAGTCATATAATAGCTTGGTCATATCTAGCTACATAGGGGACGGCGGGCTTAGAGCAAGATAAGTATTGAAGAACTGTCCTAGTAATAACTGGAGGAGGGGCTAATTTCATAGATTTACGCTCAGTATTATTTGTTTCTTTCGAAATAGATTGTTTTTAGGGTTTTAAACATGAATATATATATAGATATTTGCCCCCTCTTAATCCGGAGTGCTATAAGGATCTATTTTATCATTCAATATTGGTATTCCCGCAACGATCTGTTGGAAGTTTGGTTATGTATGAAGAACTGTTCTATTATATCAAATCAATGATTGAAGGTATGACCAAATCGACGAGAAAGAGGAATTGTATGAACGGCGAAATACGCTGAATGTTTAATCGGCTTCGAAATTAATACCATCAATCAAATTTCGTTGTTTACTAAGTGAAGTCGTTCTTACCGTAAAGTGTTATATGCATGCATCCTAGTTGAACTCAGTTTTGAAATATTCAATATTAATACCATAGAACCAATACAATGTCTTTGAGGTTGTATGTAGTTCAAAAATATAAAATCAGGGCTGTTCAAAATGATCAATTATCATTGCAGTGATATATCACGAGATCAAAGTTAATTCAAAAAAAAAATTATCAAACGCGAGTAATGTATACCTGTATATACGTCCAGTTACTCCAGTATGCGTATATAGTATGCACTCTGCTTTGTTATCCGGAAGAGATGTTTTTATACGTTTCCCGTAGTATAATGCAATCATTATTGGAGCTAACAGATTTCTAATTTAAATCTGTGCTTTTAGGTAAAGAAGACTCCTCCTTGAAATGATCTCGCGAGATTGCCTCGCTACCTGCGTGGTTAAACCTTCCCTAAAATCGACCCTGGCCTATATCGACTTCGAAGTATTTTTCAGATGTATTTATTATTTTTCCGTGTTCAACGACTTTTCGGGCATTCTTGTGGACATTTCTACTAAATTAATATACGCATTGCCCTATTTCGAAAGCGTACAATGCGTTTGCCACACTATATGTCTCCCAGACTCCTACCACAGCATAGGCTGAAAAAAATAGGCCACATGCATGCACGATTGCCCTAAATTTTTTTACATACATTAACTTTACCGAAAGCAACTTCTTACTATCGAAACTCCATTAAGGTTTTGGTTAACAAAGCTCCAGGGGCAAGGCTGTTTCAAACAAATCTACACCAGCTTGCGTCGAAATAACAATAATGGGAACGAAAACTTGTGTACAAGCTATCTATTTCCTGTCGTTATATACTTTATAAAAATATGGTAGCCTATAATATATTTACATGCAAATATACATTTAACCTGTTATACCTGTACCTCCTTTTCTAAAAGCTGGCAAAGTGAGGATTGTCAATATTATCCAGCACAGATATCCCTTCCTCATGCTGCGAATTTGTTTTGTTGGTGTAATATTCTTCGATAATTACTATCGGTTTCCCGAACTATAATTCGTTGTCTTGGAATTCTGCTGAATGAAATTCTCGTAAAATCTTGGGTTAACCGCTAAGTCTTTACTCCATTCCCGCTGAACGTTAAATAAGCATTGTTCTCTGTGCACACTTATATTCTCACATGTCAAATCACATGAAAAATATTGCACATTCGACGACTAAATGATTTCAATATTACAGGAAATGTCAAACTCGCCATTTTAGGTAATATTGCAATATTCTTAAATTCAGTAACATCGCACACTGTTCTTATTATGGAATGCCGAACTTAACGCCATTAATATGATAAACGTTTCCATAATCAACTAGCGGCGATAAAATACGCTGTAATTTGTAGTGTTTGCCGGACTAAAGAGAATTCATATTAGCCAGGCGGAAAGTGGTATTTCTTTTCAAGGTGGATTTGCATATAGATGTGACAAGTAGGCACGTGTGGGCATGTTCATATGCATAATATAGATATCATCTTAAAACAACATACTCCTCCTTAGAGGATTTTGCGAAAGCATTAACATCAGACACCAAAGCATCTGCGTGCAGAGGAAAGTGTCATATACAACTGCTATGTAAAAGTCGATCGTATATATACAGTTTATTAGGATACATTATTTTACCGCTGAATTTCCATGTGCATAGTATTTTTTTTATCTCTTGTCTTTCCGTTCCTGTGAAAAATTACTTTAGTTGAGCCTGGACGCATTAATGAAGTGCATATAAGGCAAAATCGCTTCCGCGAAATCTGCATCACGAAAGATGCCTAACAGTACAGTCCAACAGTATGGTTTAATAGCATCTTAATATTTCCCGGAATTGTTTGGAAGGTGTAGAATTCTCCAACTTAGGGCCTTTCCTTTATACGGTAAAAACGGTCAGACCGGTCCTGTTGTATTTCAGTATAAACAGATTACTGGTATTTTAGAATGTTTCAAAAACTCTGAAGTATGTCGTTATTTACATCTGCCCAGCACCGGAAATGCAGTTTCACCGCTATATTCTTAACGAAATACTCTGTTTTTATTTAAAATAACTATAACCCGTCTGACCATTTTGGCCGCCTAAAGGAAAGCACCCTAATATTGTGTACTTTCTCCCTAATTGAGATGAAATTCACTTGACTCGCGGCAAACCAATAATGGCAAACTTCACATCAAAGTTCGGATAAAAAGCTGGTTGTAAATCGAATCAATAACTTAGGCCAAAAAACCCAATTACTTAGCCTTCAAGAACCTTCTCGGAGATATTTAGGGAGTAATTTAAGCCTCGCATTTGTCTGCAAAAAACGTGCAGAAGAAGAATATGTTTCACAAAAGGCAATAAATGGAACGCTCTAGCTTGTACTTTAAAAACTGCAGTGATCATTTTGGGATTAGTAGGAGAGTAATAAGTGAAAAAGTTGGCAAGCTAAATGGAGATTGTCCCTCCGCCCCCGTCTGTTATTATAATTCGAATTAAAATAACTATCTTATATTGCAACATAATAAAGAAAGTAAAAACTGAAGAACACATGATAGACAAATGAAACCAATATAACAATTTTGTTTCGAATGTTGGCGTTGGATAGAATACTAAACTAATATAGAAATAGAATAATAAAAAGTCATTGGAAGAATGATTTCTTAACGCTAAATTCTGAATTCCTTTGAGGAAAACGGCAAAAAATTGTATTATGAGTAAATATACATGCATGAAGCACATAAATTTATCCCATAGCTATAGTCTGGAAAATGTTTGCACTACAGTTGCTGTGTTGTGACCGATTGCTAGAAATACCTGCATTGATAATAATAAAGATTGCTGTGAGCATGACATTTTCGGTCTACCAACTCGATCAAATAGGAATCGACGAAACTTGGTTATTCGTTTGCATACACTGGCGTCGCCAGCATCGATAAGAGGGGTGGACATATTCATATATTCATGTTCACAGACCGTTAAAACAATTATAATGTAAAACACGAATATATTAATATGTCCCCCACCTGGCGACGCCTCTGTTTGTGTACCTAAAGCTTGTATGTACGTAAAGCAGAATTGCAGAGAAGCAACTATAGCTCTATTAGTGCATGGATGATTCTTACGAGAAAGGGTAATTGAGAGGAAGCGCAAGAGCTGCATAAATTAAGATAATGATATGCAAGTATATACGAAAGTGAAACTGTAGTTACAATGAAAACCAGTTTGTCTTATACGCACGTGTTTATATGACGTACAACATCATGACCGGACCGACCTACATTGGTGCATATTGTCACCTTTACTGGAGATTGAAAAACTATCATATAAATTATGATACTGTCAAAGTTTCAAAGGAAAAAAAATGTTGAAATTTACAAAAGTTTCTTAAGACACCAAGTAATATAAACCGTACGAGGTATAAATTCGTGGAAAGAGCCTAAAATACGTTACACGAAAAGCTTATTTAGCAGTTTTCTGGGCCCACAGGCCGACTAAATGACATCAAAACATATCACACACGCGCTCGGACCTGCAATAAACCCGTTGAAGTGCTTTTACATAGAGACAAATATTTATAAATTTATGCCGTTTGTATGGACCAAGAATCAAACTGGCCAGAAGAATAATTTGCGACGGCAAATTATCGGACGGACTGATTTTTCAGATGGGGAGACCACACCCATTTCTCCAAATATGTATAGCCTTGCTGTAAATACGCCCCTTTGAGAAAGAGAGCCCATAGTGGTCTACACACCATGCTAGCTGTTTATGCAAAAACAGGAAGATTTCCCAGATATATAGCCTTCTTCTAACATGTATATGGCGGCCATGGGCCTCATCAGTATGCCGTGTGGAACTATGATACGTTGTTACAGTATATATATCAGTGGATTAAGTAAATCTCTTGGTCGTGTTATTTTGAGGAGGTGGCCTTTAGGAATAGCTATAATAGCTGTGAAACTCATTTATTAAATGTTCCTTAACTATAATTTTGTGTAGCGATAGTTATATAGGCTAAAAAACATTCATCATATAATTATGTCAAAACGAGAGGATACTTAAATATATTATATACTGAAATACTCGTTTTATTTCATTGCTGCTCCATTATCGTCGTATTATATTGCTATTTTTATTGCATATTCATTAGACTTTAATCCGATAATCTCTCACCCAATCATCGGAGCCTTCCCGGACAAAATCACATTTCCTTTAGTTTTTCTTATAATCATATATATATATATATATATATATATATATATATATATATATATATATATATATATATATATATATATACACCCGTTTGCAAAAACGTTGGCCGCAGATAGATATATAGATAGATACCCGAAATCTAATTAGAATTGCATATGTTGTGTAATACGATTGAAATCCCATGCAAATGTAATCATATGCAATTCTAATTAGACTTCGAGTATCTATCTATCTATCTATCTGCGGAATAGTATCTATCTATATATCTATCTGCTATTAATTTTGGTTAAATCAACAAAACAAAGTAACCTCATGCAATTAAATAATTATTTCATGTGACCATCTAAATGCCCAATGTTGAGAGGTGCATTTCAGTGGAACACTAAAAAATTCAAAATATTTAATTATTCATTAAACCGTTATCTGCTTAAATTAACATTCACTCTATTTAACATTTAGTAAAATGTAAAATGCTGTGTTACAAAAAGGGATGGTTGTAGGTACAACTCCATACATGACGGATAAAAATTCACCAACAAGTACATTCATATTAGCACAAATTATTAGATATAGCTATACCTTGTCACAAAAATTCGCCTTTCAGGGTGTCAACAATTTCTTCAAATGTTGGGCGGAGATCTGGGGAGGCTTTCCAACATTGAAGCATCAGTTCATATCTAGATGCGCAGTGAATAAATACTGATTTATGTCCTGAAGTTACTCGATAAAATTTAGATATACCTTACAAACTGTTCTGCCTTCAGTTAAGCGCACAGATACCGCACGGGTATGTGAAATGATCACAAATTCCACCTACGTTTCATCTGACGTGTCTTCAGGTTTTAGTAAGCGATATCCTTCATTTATTTGTCTAACAAGATCCGTCACTTCAAATTCCAAATATGGAACGCATCCTAAAATATATGAACAAGAAACCGTAGTTGTACAGTAAATGCATGATTCAGTGTACAGTTTTACTTCTCGGAAATTGGAGCCTTTGGAGCCCTTTCCTTAAGGAAAAATATTTATTCATCGTTTTAGTTATCGACACTACAATAACTATCTCTATTACAACATTCATCGGTCATTAAGTTTATTTTCATTACGACATCGGTCAACGTATTGATTAGTCGAAACATTATACCAGCGCAAACATTGTCGAGTAAGTGTTAAACCATCAATCTGGGTGACTTAGCAAGCTTTTGTGATAGATGATCAACCATCAGCCTGAATTATTTCGGAGCCGTTATCACACAGGGATTCTATATAATGGTTTATTAGATAGCCTATAATAAACGTATATGTAATCATTCAACAACATAGCTATGCTAACCTTTACTTTCAATTTCCCACATTACAACCGCAAATGACCACCTTCAAGAAAATTTATGAGCCCATGTTTCAACAACAAAATTTGTAAATAATGAAAACAGAGTGGGATGCAGTATGCAGTAGAAACAATAAAGAATGTCTGCATGTATAAACAAACAAATGATCTATTATCAATATTGTATTCGTCGAATTTGCTTACACATCGCTTTTAGTTGTGTACAGTCCATCAGTTAAAGATTCTATAGCCAACCACCTAGCTGGTAAATTTCCCTAAAAATAGGAGATAGAAAAACGTTACATTTTATTAAAAACGAGCTGCAGGAAAACTTAAATACTTAAATAAATAACTTAAATAATTAAATAAATAAAATTAAAACCAGAAATTTAAATTAAAAGTCTTGTTCAGGGTTGCCAGATTACTGAATAAATTAGCCAAATATTATTACCATAATCGCTGTTTTCTTTGTTTCAAAAAAAATCAGGGTCAACTACAACAATGTTTGGCATCTTTTTTCTGTAATCTGGCATGCAACCCTGCATGGCTTGTGTGCATCTAGATCCATATAGTATCTAGGTTACAACCAATTTGTTTTATAATATAACATTTATAGTGCGCGCGTGCTGATTGGTCGAGAAGCGTGTTTTCACAACTGTATAGAAACAAGGGACTTTCAAGCGAAGTAATGTAATGGGAAATTGTAATTGAATCGAATTATACTTTTACTTTTAAAAAAAAGGATGACTAGAATAATATAAAAGTGGGATAGGCAACTGGAGGCGGAATTAGCTATTATACATTACTATATATCCCTGCCAGCGGAGTTTTTTCTATGATAACTTTAGGGTTTTCTTTGAGACAAACACTAAGATAGCTTTTGGTTTAATATTTTCATCGTGTGAAAAGGTTTCAAAAAGAATAAAAAATAGAAGTAGCCCGAATTGAAAGAATCGAATGTTTTACACGCAAAATGACGCGTTCATGCACAACGACTGCACTACAGGATCATTGCTAAAAACATATAACATCTTCAATGAAAAAATACAGATGTATAACAAAGTGCAGAGCTCTCAAAGGAAGGTGATTCCAACATATTTTTTGATCTGCTCTTTGTGATCGGAAGGGCTAATTTTCATCACATGCACTGATGCACACATGCAAGACAAGAACCAAATGGAAATCAAATGGAAAAGTTTTACTGTTTCATGCTATTGGGCTATATAAAATTTTAAGAGAATATTGTAGAAGCTATTTATAATGCGATATTTGATAGGTACAGCTTAGATACTGTAGTATATAATTATATATTTTATTGTATACTGACATCGATATGCATGAATCATTTTTAGGGTATTTTTACCGAAGTAATTTTTCTGTTCGGATCCCGCTCATGAACAGTCTCAGGAACACCAAAGTTTGAGATTTTTGGCGTAAAATCTTCAGTTAAAAGAACAGTTTTTGCTGCTAGATCGCGATGAATGACCTTTAAAAATATGGATTAAAGATAATATTTAAAGTACTTTGAAGTGTCAGCCGTCAGGGTACTCAGGCTACAGCCAATTCAATGAAAATTGCCCTATCAAAACGTAAAATCTGAAAATGTAGAAATTAGAAATGTGGCTATGTGTATAAGAATACCAAAAAAAAACAAAGAGATGACTCACAAAAGAAAATCTATCTTGCTATTAAGGCAGTTATTTGATTCGAATAGGGGATAGGAGCGTGATCATCCATTTGACGCTCAAGGTCAGTTTAATGTGAAAGTCAAGTCTGTTCTGCGTATGCATATTTTCTTGCAAATATTAACTTTTGTTTTGGACTTGGGGGACACTATCCGCGGTAAAGTAATTAAAGGGGACACTATCCGCTAGCGGAGAGACACACTTCAGGGGGACACTATCCGCGGGGGGACACTATCCGCTGTAACACCGGCAACCGGCTATATAGGAGCTGTGAGATAAATGCGTGATAAACTTTATCTTTAGCCGTACTGAATTGCCATTTCCACACTATGGATATAGTATGGAAAGAATTATGCATGCATATTTCCATATATAGTTTATATTTTGAGAAAGATATACCGTAACTATATGTGGTGTCATAAAAGCGAATTTCACATTTTGGAAAGGAATCTTTTGCCTTTCTTTAGACGTGAATTTAAAAGAAAATCTTTCATTTTATTTCCTCGAATATGACCGGTCAAGTATTACAACAGGAACAATTCCTTGGGAATGAATGCATGGTATTTAAATTTGCAAAGCTCATCTTTCACGTCAAATGCATTTTTTAACTTTCGATTTCGTTTTCGTGGAATCCCTCAACGGTTATGTGTTATTTAGGTAGTTTTTGAAAAAGCAATTGCCTTATATAAAATGTCCATGCAAACGCATTTGTCGACTGCAGACTGTTAGGTAAACCAATTTTGTTTTCACGTATTTCCCTGGAACTATTATTATTCCCTGGAACTGTTATTATCATTATTCATTTCTTTCCTTAGAAATTCATTGTTTTCACAGAATCACAGTCAACACCAAAATATAAGCATAGCATGAGTAAATTTCGGGCTGGCTACGCCACTGTAAAGAAGACACGATTGAAACTGTAAAATTTCAAAACTTTATTTCAAATCTTTAGACAACACTCCACAACACACATTCTTATATATCTATTCAACATGCATGCGCATGATGAGTTATATAATAAGGCCCACACAGACTGCATATGCATGATTTGTAACGCAACGCTAATTTTTAGAAGCAAGTAAATTTAATTTTGATATAACAGTTTGAGAGATATGGGTACCAGACCAGTCAAAATGTACTATCATTGATTCAGTAATTACCAAGAATATCATAACATTGTCAAAGTTAATAGAATTTGAAAATTGAAAAACATCGCGTCTGTGCATGTGTGTCGGACTTTAGAGAGAGAGCGTCAATCTATCATTCAGGTAGTACATGCAAGGTCTCTGTCTAGCCTTATGTAAATTATTGACTCTGACCACATAATCTCTTGAATTTACCTGCCTTATTTAGTTTTCCTTCCATGAGAATGGCGTCAGGATGTCGCCGAGACGTTGGACCTTTCTATCGCTAGTTTTTTCTTGTATATATATGTATTGTGCAGTAATATTTGATAAAATGTAAGCTCGGATATTTGAGGGGATATTCACCCATTGCATTATGTTCGGATACAGCAATACCTGTAGCCTCTTAACTACGAAATTCCGGCAAACGTTTCAATGAACGGTAAATCAAACGGATGACCGCTTTTGGAACAATTTTCAAACGTTTTCGGCTAAGCGTTCGAATGTACCGTTTCGAACGATGGACGATCTCGAAAATCGTTTCAACGGACGCTTCAAGCGTTTAAACGGCAAACGAACGGATAACAAACGATATTTTTCAACGAACGAAATAGCATTAACGTATGTTTTCCTGTGGAAGTTCACATATAATGAAAGAAATTTGCATGTTAGCTGTCATTAGACATTATTTAATTATTTACTCTGGACACGGACACATAAATTTTTGAACTCGCATGCTTCATTTAGTTTCCTTAATAATGGCGTCAGGATGTCGTCGAGACGTTGGACTTTTCTATCACTCGTTTTGTCTTGTATATGCATGCTTATCCAAATCATTGTTAAGTACACTTGCATAGCTATATATATATAAAAATTCCCTCTCTTTAACCCGTATTACTTCAATTTAAGACTACAAAAGCTATGCTATTCAAATGAAGTATATTAAACACAGTAATGTTTAACTTATTCGAATACTTTTATAATCTATACCAGTAGCGTAGCCAGCCTGTCGATTTGTTCCGCTATGCGATTTGTCGATCCTGCTGACCATGCCATTAACAAGGACCTAATATTTTAAAATTTAGATCCTGAAATTAAATACCTGTTCCCTATCTGGGACGCCGCAGTGATTTCCTTTCAAGTTTATATTAGCTGAATTATATAGCCTTTATAACTATTTTGAAGCTCGAGTTACCAATTTTACTTATTTTTTTCCAATAGACCTTTTCAGTAATTACATCACAACATTTTAACATCACAACGTACGTTTTAAATTTAGAACCACCTTAAATAAAATAGATTTCCAGTTTTACTCTCACGAGCCACGTGCGAAGATGCAAAACATCATTCTTCAACACATGTATGAAAAAGATTTTTATTATTTTGACCAATAAATGTGGAAATAAGCCATAACACGAGAACGAGGCTGATGAGCCAACACCGCGAGCCTCATTCCCGCGTTATGGCTTACTTCCATACTTATTAGTCAAAATGGAAACTTCTTTTTCATGCACGGGTTATAGAAGGATGTTTTGTATCTTTGCTGACTTTGCACGTGGCTCGTGAGAGTAAAACTTGAAATCCATCTCATTTAAGGTATTTGTTGTGACGTAATTACCAAAAAGGTCTATTTTAATCTTATATTCTTGCTCTGCCTGACGATATTCTCAGTCCACCAATGCATGTTTGAGACGATCTGCTACGGATGAAGCCCTAGTGTGTCCCACATTTGTTCAAAAATCTCCTCCTTCGAATCTTCTCGTAAGATAAAGAAAAGAAATGGAATTTCAAGTGTGGCAATATGCCAGCATTATTGCGGACAACGAAATAAAAAGAAACCATGCTTGAGATCATGCAACTTGATGTTTCACTATTGAATTGATTACCGTCAATTTTAGCTCACTTTTCCGCGCCAAGTTGCGAAGTGCGTTAGGAAATTGGAAACTACGTCTCGAATTACGGAAGTACGTTGCCAACTTCCGTATCTAATTCCAAATTCCAATTGTAAATTTTAATTTAAATTGCAACGAAGTACGTTGTTCATAGGCATAGCAATTAGGTGAAGAGCGTAAAGTATTCAGGATTTGAGTCAATTTGAATTAAAAATATGGAACGTAATCACTTCGTAACACAAGGAAAAGCCGTAAGTAACAAGTAATTGCTAAGAAAAACGTACTTCGTTGCGATGTAAATTCAAATTAACAATTGGAAGTAGATACGGAAGTTGGCAACGCACTTCCGTAATTCGAAATGTGGTTTTCAATTTCCTAACGTATTTCGCAACTCGGCGCGGAAAAGTAATCTGAAATTGACGGTAAAACATGGCTTCATCTTTAAGGAAAGAGCGTAATTACGAATACATGGCGATGAAATATTCGCAACTCAACCAGCAGCAATTCGCTATAGGGAAGCAGTTGATCCTTGTGCTGGGTGTGAAGAATGGGGACAAGGTTGTCGATATTGGATGTGGAACAGGTGAAATAACAGCATATATTGCAAGCATCGTGGGCAAAGACGGTCTGGTTGTTGGCGTTGATCCCGACGGATGTCGAATCGATGTTGCACGGCAGAAACACAGTCCTGATTATAAGAACATTACCTTTGTACATGGCGATAGCTCGTGTGATTTTCCTCATCGCAACGAGCCATTTTATGATGTCTCTTATTGCAGCTCGGTCTTTCATTGGTTGGACGAACAGGAGAAGATCATATTCCTGCAGACTGCGTTCAACTGTCTCAAGCCTGGAGGTAGAATAGCCATTAGTAGCTTAGAGGAAATTCCCGAGCTTTTCCTGCGTGTGCCAGAGTTGCTGCCCGACGTTGAAGTTGAGAGCAATCGTCCACCGTTTAAAATTGTGAAGAAGAACGAAACAGAGGCGATAGTACAACAAGCAGGCTTTGAGGTACAACACAGCGATTATGCACAATGCGAGCACACATTTCCAAGTGTGGAATATTATTTAACTTGGTTTGGTGCGTCTGGGTACGTGGACGAGAAGAAATTTCTACCACACAAGAAGCAGGAATTTTCTCAGAAGTTTGCAGATGATGACGGGAAAGTTCATTTGAAACTGAAAATGTTTCTAATCATTGCAAAAAAACTAGAAACAATTTAATAACACTTAATAGTATACCAATATTGGGAAGAATGTATGTTAGATCTGTACAGTAAGTAAAATAGTTGTTATTGCCAACACTATATTGGAACTGATACGATAGACCTAACAAGATGATAGTGAAATGCTCCCTTGTTGGCGAGGTATATCGTGAATCGAATTGAATTGAATTGAATGTAAACGGATAGATTGGATGGAAGGTGAAATAAACGAAAATACGAAAGATAAAGTCCCAACCTCGTACCCAGGGTCTTTCCTCCTTGAGTTAGGGCCAGTTTATAGGGCTGCTTTCCACTGTCGCGTTTTTCATACGACACGTAGCTAGTTGGGGGGTGTATTTCATATATTTTAATTGGGGGTGTATATTCATGTTTATATACCGTAGGAAGAATAGCGTACAAAAAAAATCAGTCGGGCATAGGACTCAAGTAAGCTTCTAGATACGACCCTGCGTGTATCATTCTTTTTTGGGCACTCAGAAAGAGCAAATGACTTTTAAACAAAGGAATAAGTTACGGTTCGTTACAATTCGGTTGAAGTGGAAAACAGGCCTTATTCAATACACTCTGCCCACGCCCCACAGACATCGCTGGGCGTCATTTCAAAGGTTGATTTGCATTCGCGTTGTTTATAATATTAAGCAGCCTGTGTGCAGGCTACATTCTAATATAAATAATATAATATTGTAATTTGTGACATAAAATTGTACGACAGATAATTCGGTTAATATGGTTAGATGGATTCTTGGGTTGCGCGTTCTGCTGTGTTTCAGTTCGACCAATTTAATAAGTAATGTTGATACAAGCGTGGTAGAGGAGGAATGTCCCACAATGGCTGCGGCGTGTGTGGGAAATTACTATACCGAACTGCCGCTTGCTAGACGATATCCAGTCGAGGTGCTTCCTTATTTGTGTTAAATATATACTGTCATTCATTTGCTTAGAAAAATTCCACTCGTTTGAAAGATCGATTAAATCATTTAAATGTAAACACGCAACAAATTATTTGTTTAGGGCTTCCGTGTATATACTGACTTCCTCCAACTCATATTTGGGAGACATCTGTTTAATTTTAAAAAGCCTGTATATAAATAGTCCCAATAAAATGTTATGACAACTCATCGCAAAGAATTTAGACAGGAAGTGTTAATTTTATTCTTCAAATTTTATAGGGTCAGCAATCTGTTTGTTCTACAGAAAAATAGTGTCTAAAAGCAAAATTTAGATGAAGGAAATTAATTATGTACAATGTCTTGGGTTTCACAATTGTAAACCATCCATATTTATAATATATATCAGTATTATATGGATGAAGAATATAACCTTTAACCATGGCAAGCAACAGCCAGCCTCGAATTTTTTTGAAGAAAGCTAGCTTGCTGCCAAAACAACCCTAATTGTTATCTTGCACCTTCTTGCCCAAACTAATTATGCCCATACAGTCATACCAACCAGTACTTTACCTTGTTTATATCAGCAAAATACAACCAAGCATCTCACAAATAGGCAATTAATCAATATAGTGATTACTTAACTTCAGGTTATATATGTTGAGCCTTTTTTGACTAAAAGTGCTTAACCCAGATATTTCCACCTTGCCTAGAATTTTTTTAATTTCTGGTTCAGGAGCCTTATATCCCTTCAATGTGCTTTAAACATGTTCAGTATGGATGCCCCTTAATATAATTCCACAATATTCATATTAGGTTGGACACATCACTAAATTGTCACTGGAAAATGAACAAATTAGAGAGATGAAGACTCTAAGCATAAAACCACCAATATTTGGTAATACATTTAATTAAATTGATTATTATTATCAGCTCATAGATCATGGCAAACAAGAATGAACATAGAATTTCAATAATAATTAAAAACCATGTGTAAAATTGGTTTTAAAGACAATCATGGGCCCACAGTAATTGTTACTTAATTGCATGTTGCTATATCTCGGCTAAATTTGTTGTAATAATATTCTTGTATGTTTGCATGCTGACATCAATAAGTAAATTAGCTTGTAGGTAACACCACATAAGTATTTAATACTGCAAAGCTTTAGTTTGTTAACCCGGGCCTTTATATATTGCACTATTCTATTGCACTGATGAAGGCCCGGGTTAACAGACTGAAAGCTTTGCAGTATTAAACTACTTATGTGGTACGTGTACCTACCAGCTAATTTACTTAAATTGTTGTGTTACTGATAAATGCATGCAGATGTCATGTTGTAGAGTAATGGCAAAGTTAATAAATAAATTAAATTATTTGGTGTGTAAATTTTCCAAGGTGTTCAAACTTCAACTTGAAAAACTCTGATTGCTAAATCTGGTGTGACATCAGAGCTACTCAAGATCGTTCAGGCAAACAAAGTAAACATCTATGACAAATAATTTGTTTTGACTATTTAGAAATTCGCAATTATATGAGTCCGGAAGAATGTGATGATATTATAAGGCTGGCAAAAGAACAAGGTCTACAAACATCTGAGACAATGGATGAGGATATGTTTGAAGATGAGCAGAATTTTCAAGAAGCTGATGGTGACGTTTTTGAATATTATGATTACAACAAAGATAACTTCTTGGATGTTGATGAGGTATTATTTTTCATGATTAGGAATTCAAATTGTAAAATTGTTGCGGCAGCGTTTCCATCCGCGCAAGCCAGGCTATTCTACCTACCAGGGCGCTTATATATATTGTTTATACATACATTATCGACGGATAAACAAGACCTGTTAAAATGTCAAATTTTGGCATTTTTCATCAAAAACACGCTCGCCTCAGGCTACTTCCGCATCTCACGTCGATCAGCGCGCGGTCTTTTGTTGCACCGCCCCTATATATAAGCGCCCTGCTACCTACGGCCCACGCTTGGGCAAAAACGTGTGCTGTGGAGCGTGTGTAGAAAAGTCTGGCTTGAGAAGTTTCAGCGTCTCCTGCTCCAAATGCTCATTCAGATATGTGAATATCACGACAGTTTGTTAAATTATTAAAGTATTTTCTTTTTACACCAGATATTTTTTGCCCTAGTTTGTGTAACAAAAAAATTGTTAAAAATTTTCACCCCCAAGCCAAGGCCAAGGACTACACACGAGAACATGGAACTGGAATGAAAGCACTTTCCTTCGTACATAAAATCATTTGCGTTTTTTTAGGTTACGAACCTTTTAGATACAGAATTGGATTTTTCTCCAGACATGGAAGACGTCGTTGACATGTAAGCAAATCATCTTATAAAATAACATGTATATAACGCGTGTTCTGATTAGTCGAAGCCCGTGTTTGGATCAGGTCATCCAAACACGAAAATTCGTCGTTTTAAAGAGTTTCAATAAAGAGTTTTAAAAATTCAGGCCTGGTCGACTGGTCGTTGTTATTTATAAAACAATTACTTTATGGTTTCCGTGTTTGTATTGCCTGATCCAAACACGCGGGAATGTTGCGAGAGTTAAGAAAAGCGCGCGAAATGTTTTGCGAGGTTTTCTTAACATCTATACTACTTCACTACCGGTAACAGGGACTGGTTTTTCATTTAATTAATACTATATCGACAGTTTTACGGCGAACGCGTTTGTAAAAATTGCATTTTCCACAACGCATTGTTTTTTTTCAAAAAATCAGCTTTGTCGTTAATTAAACTAAAACAATTATTCCCCTCATGCAGGCTTGGTGATTATCTCTGAATAAAAAACCTCGACATTGACTAAATAATATATTTGACAATTTATTTAAAATAAGTTCAACGCGCTTTAGCGAGAATTGCCTTTTTAAATCCGTTTACATTTTTATCTGCAGGCTTGAGAAACTCGATTTGGACAAAAATGGTGATTGTAAGTATTGAGACGATATATCCCAATTGACGAGTGCGCGGGTATCCCTTTCACCTACTAGTATCGCTTTTACCTAAACATGGTCATCAACTTTTCTAGAGTATTTACCTTTTTACGCATGTTTTAGTCTGCATATAATGCAACTTACAAAGCACTCTGCAACACAAAAAATGAAAATATTTATACTGCATTTTTTTCTTGCAATAAGCGAGATTCTGTGATCTGTCTCAATAGAATTAGTTCAAGTACCATAACTTAATATAACATTTGTGTATACGCTTTGCTCTCGACAGTGAAGCTTAGTGAGGACGAATTCGAGAAGAAAGATGTTGGAGGAATCATTAGGTTTGTTTCCCTTACAAAGCGAAAGAAGCCTTACACAAAGAGCAGACACAGTGAACAAACCTGGTTGGAAACAGACAGAAACAGCGAGAAAACGTTGCAGTCATTACGTAAGAGGTGCAAGAACATTTATATTCATGCAGTCCAAAGTATAACCATATATATAGGGGCCTTGGTATTACAAAATTTATAATTGAAACGGTTGGTAAGTCAAAATTGAGGAACTACTGGAACACTAAAATATTATGCACTTTAGTTTCGACTGTACTAAACTTGCTTTCTCTTTCGACTGTACTAAACTTACTTTCTCTTCGCTGTTTATGACATCGACTATAGTCTTGCATAGACCATAATTCCGTTCATGTTACGGTTTACAGACTTTGGAAACTGACTAAACTTCCCTTGATGCTCCTAAACGCCAGTGAAAGCCTTCAGGTATGCAGGAAATATGTTCAATTAATTGTAACGCATGCATGTATTATATCTACGTTTTTTTTATAACATATAGTTTGGTGTTAGCTTAATATCTAACCCGCCTGGATTTTATAGAGGGATGAAAAAGGGCGCAAAGGTGGTTACAGCTAGTGCATGGGGTTCTTAATATATGTCTGTCAGTCCATACATGCATGATCAGACTATCTAAAGTTTTATCATTTAGACTATATCATTTAGAAAATCTAAAGTTTTCTGTAAAGTTTTAAACGGGTTTCTATATTAATAGCGTTTTCTGTTCTGTTTGAAATACACAGGTCAAATACACAAATGCGAGTAATACACATGCGAGGTCTTATAGGCTTATAGGACAAATGCAAGTAATGCAATATGCA